GAAAGGAAGGAGGAGGAAATTTGTGGCTGGGAAACCAGAGGATACAACAAACAGTGACACCTTTATCCAAGCAGTACTGTGGGAACAATAACATGGTTTTACTCTAAATTTCTGTTGCAAGAGGAGTGTGTGTTAAAGAAGGAGCTTCTATTACATTTAGTATCTTATTTCTCGCCTGTGGTTGCTGGTGTAACCTGGCTTTAAGTTATGCTTTGCCTTGCTGTTACCGTCAGTTGAGTGTTTGAAAAGCCTTTGTTTATTGATGGCTGTACTCACTTACATCTCACTCTACAGACAATAAACTCAGTTTTTAATGAACAAAGCCATGGTTTTAGAAACCGAGAGTCGTTGCAACTTGACAAGAGGAAATTTTCCTAGATTTCCCCTTGAGTTGGAATGAGATAAATGACAGTGGAACTTGATGAGTTTACTAGATTTCAGAAATTTGGTAAGAGTTTAAAAAAGTTGGTCATCTGCCATAAATTTATATGGCTTCATTTAATCTTAGATCCAGCCTCATGTTTCGTTTGATAGGCTGTTATACTACTATTTAAATGTTTTTGTGACGTGAACTTAATCATGGGGGAAAATGGCATTGTCTTTTACACTAGACATAAAAGGAGATACACACTGGAAATACTAATAATTGCCAGCCTTTCATGCTTTTAGCACATGAATAATAATTTTGCAGTATTTTGGTCTTTTAAGATTTAACAGTTATCAAGTCATTTGGCTATTTTAATTTCTTTTTAATTAAAAATTTTTTAATTGAAGTATAGTTGATGTACAGTGTAGTTTCAGGTGTGCAACATACTGATTCGACGTTTAAATATATTACAAAATGATCACAATAAGTCTAGTAACTGTCACCATACAAAATTATTACAGCATTATTGTCTATATCCCTTATGCTGTGCATTACATCTCTGTGACTTACTTATTTTATAACTGGAAGGTTGTATCTCTTAATCCCCTTCACCTGTTTTGCCCAACCCCCACCTCCCTCCTCTCTGGCAACCATCCATTTGCTCTCTGTAACTATAAGTCTGTTTCTGGTCTGTTTTGTTTTTTGGATTCCACATGTAAGTGAAATCATATGGTATTTGTGTTTCTCTGACTTATTTCGCCAGGCATAATATTCTCTAGGACTATCCATGTTGTTGCAAATGGCAAGATTTCATTCTTCATGGCTGAGTAATATTCCTCTGGTGGGTGCGTGTGTGTGTGTGTGTGTGTGTGTCTGTGTGTATGTGAGCTATCTTCTCTATCCATTCATCTATTAGTGGGTAATTAGACTGCTTCCATATCTTGGTTATTATAAATAATGCTGTAGTGAACATTAGAGTGCATGTATCTTTTAGAATTGGTGTTTTTATTTTCTTCAGATAAATACTCAGAAGTGGAATTGCTGGATTGTATGATAGTTCTATTTTTAATTTTTTGAGGATCCTTCATACTGTTTTCCATAGTGGCTGCACCAACTTACATCCCCACCAACAATGCATGGGGGTTCCCTTTTCCTTACATCTTTGCCAGTACTTGTTATTTGTTGTCTTTTTGATGATAGCATTTTGGATGTTTTTAATATTATTGCCAAGAATATCAGAGCTAATACCACCTTTTTAGATGATCTAGCTTAGCAGTCCCTTGCAGAGGAATCTTTTTCAAACGCAGTCTTACATGGTACCTGATACATAAAACACATGTTTTTTTAAATTATAAAATTTTATTATTTCAGACTTGTACTTATCATAGGGTCAGTTAATAAGAGGGGAAAATACTATTTTGAACAAGAAAAGGATTTAGTTTAAAAGGGCCTTGGCCTTCACTTTGTATTTTGTTTTGTTTGATAGCTTTTGGAAAGCACTGAATTACATGGTAAGTCGTTGCAGGCAGTGATAGTTTTTATTGGTTTGTTTTACAAGGTCCACCCTGAACCCTTAGGAGACTTCAGTTTTTTAGACCACGGAAAAATTAATTTCGCAGTACAAGTTAATGACATGTAAAACCATGGAGCTGAGTGCTATTTTTTTATCTTAGCTTGAAGATAAGGAAAATAAAATCAAATATTTACAGAATCCCAGAACTCTGCACAGAACACCATTTGAAAACTAGTCATCATGCTTTATGTAAAATATTTCTGTAGAATGAGAGTATAGGGTCTAGTTGTACCATTTATTTTTATAGAGAAGTTGTCAAATATTGGGAAAAAATGTGAAAATACTTCTCACTGGAAAGGGTTAGTGTTAGTAAATCCTCTGGAAGTTTCAGAAATTTTAATTTTTTATTTTACTGAATATTAAGAGCGGTTGCCAGCCCAGCCCACACATTAATTAGCCCATAAATAACTGAAGTAGTCATGTTTAGCTATCCTCTGATTACTTCTACATTTTTTAGTTAGTTTGGATTCTAAAAAATCCTCATGACTATTTCCATGAGTTTTTTAAAAAATCTGATTTCTAGCTCTGGATTGGAAACTTTGTCTCTCCACACCCACTGTGAGGTAGCAAAGGAGAGTGAGGATCTTTTTAATTCTCTAGTTGTAGAATTGTTATCCCTCCACCAAAGCGACTGCTCCTCTCCTCTTTGAAGAAGCACAGATCCTAGTGTTAGCAGGGAACTCTGAGGATGTCCTACTTTAGTTCTGTACCATTAGGTGCATGGTTTAGTAAAGCTGTACAGAGAGGAAACTTCCCCAAAACCAAACATGTTTCGCCCTCCTTTAGCAAGCTGGATATTTAAAGGAACCCTGTGGCGAATTCTTTTGTAAGGCAGGTGCTCCTCTGGGGTGTCTGGGTAACAGGAAAGCTCCGTACAGAGCCTTTAAATATCCATTAGAGCTCTTCTTGCTGCGCTCCCGCCACGGATGGGAGTTACCAGGACAGTGGCTCCTCCTTGAGGAGAACCCCTGGTCTCTGAGTGGCCAGTGGCCCCCGTGCCCCTGGGTTCCAGGGCCCGCTTCTTACCTTCCACTTGGCGGTGCCAGCCATTCCTCCGTGGACTGGAAGGCATCTCAGACTGCCACCTGGCTTCGTGCTAAATTACACACAATGATTATAGGCTGTTTGGCATCAAAGTTAAATTGAGAAGTAAAAACAAAATGAGAGCGTTGTAATCCATGATTTCTCTTGACACTTTCAGCTGCTCAGTCTAGGAAACAAAGCTCACATGAGAATTGCTGGTGTTTTTTTGATATGGAATTGCATAATCAACTGTTAGGTATCAGAAATTACAGTAAGAACCTAGGTTCAAATTCTGAGTCCACAACTTGCTTGCATTACAAAGTAAATAATTTAATTGCGTTAAAGTTGCCTCAGAGGGTTGTTGTACTGTGTAGAGGTGATCCCTTCAAAGTATATTAACATGGCATGTGTGTGGTAGCTGCTTTACTAATTCGTACCCTTTTTTATCATTTTTTATTATTATTATTATTATTATTATTATTATTATTATTATTATTATTATTATTATTATTATTATTATTATTATTTTGGAATCTTACTATGCCTAGAGAAATATTACAAGAAAAGATAAATAGAGAGGAGGAAGCAAATTCTGGTTCCTAACGCCGCCTATCCCCTCCCTGTCCCGCCCCCTCCGCAGAATGTGATAAGCTGCGGCGGGATGGCTGCCGTTGTTCTCAGTACTACTCCCAGGGACCCGCCTTCGCGGCCAGCTCTGGTCCACTCTGCGCTGAGCACCAAGACGAGGATGAGGAAACAGATCAAAAGGTAAGGCTTCTAAATTCAGCATGGGATCCTGGATTTGGATCCCAGAACAGAAAAAGGATATAAATTGGAAGAACTGGTGAGATCAGCCTGACGTCGGTTTTTTAGTTAATAGTAGTATCCTGCGTTAACTTCTTAGTTTTGGCAAATACATCGTTATTATATAGTATGTCAACGTTAGGGAACACTGGGTGAAGGGTGCACAAGGAAGTCTCAGTACTGTCTTTGCAATGTTTCTCTAAGTCTAAAATTATTCTAAAGAAAGTAAGTTCGGGATCCAAAGAATTCACTAAAGGGATACAATCAGTGTATTGATTTCAGTGCAGTATTCAATCAGTTACATGAGCTATTAAACACTTTATTATAAAACAGTCTTTCTGGTAGATGATTTTACTAACTGTAGGCTAATGTTAAGTGTTCTGAGCATGTTTAAGGTAGGCTGGGCTAAGCTATATGTTTGCTAGGTTAGTGTATTAAATGCATTTTCAACTTACAGCGTTTTCAACTTATGGTGAATTTATCAGAGAAAACCTTATTGTAAGTTGAGAAAGAGCTATACAAAGTTCTTTTTATTACAATAGGAAAAGCAGCTATTTCAAAATTGATCTGGTCTATAATTCTAATAACCTACTCTTCTCTTATTGGCATGAGTGAGGAAAATTTCAGTGACAAAGTTTCTGAATTTAGTATGGAAGCTACCTTTGTACGTCCTGTGCTTTTGCTCCCACTTCCTACGGGTCCCTCACCTTAACTGGTGTTCAAGTATCTTCAGGTCAGAGTGAGGGTTTTATTCATTTGCACCCCACGCAGTGTTTAGTGCATGATGGGCTGTTTAGCTGGCTTGTTTGGTCAAGAATCATTTACTCAGCAATTACGACTAAGTAAATATTCACCACGAATCAGAAGTCTTTATTAATCTCTGTGACACTCACCACCACTCACCACATCACAGTGATGCGCTGATGCTTGCCGGCCGTCCATCCAGAGTAGTAATCGTGTGGACCCTGACATGTTCCTTTGGCCCTCCTCAGTGTGTTCCTACACAGAGCTACTTTAAACACAGAATTATAATTCATTTTTTAAACAAGTAGTTATTAAGCATCTCCTGTGTGCCAGGGACTATTCTAGGTGCTGACAATGTAACAATGAAGCAAGTAAAAGAAATCCTTGGCCTTGATGGTGCTTTGATTTGATGGTGAGACACTGAAAATAAATAAGCAATGATGCTGCATGAGTGACATGTGCTCGGGAGTAAAATAAAGCAGAACAAGAGGCCGCAATTTTAAATTAAAGGGAGTAGGCTTCCTGAGCAAAGAGGTGACTGAGATTAAAAGAGTGAGCCAGGCGGAAGTCTTGGAGAGGAACACCCCAGGAAGAATAAATGTTTAATGTATATAGCATGCATCTGATACTGCAAAATGCAAAGATTAATACGATATCCCTACTTCCCTCAAGGAACTTACAGCTCTCTGGTAGAGAGAACTCACCAGAATAAAAAGGTTTATATATATTTTATGCTACAATAAGTGTTTGTCATATAGTAACATTTGAAAAAGAAATTCTGACTTGGGCAGTGAGGGAATGGGGGAGGGGCTGGCAGAGGACGTGGCGTATAAGAAGAATAGTTGTAGGACTATTGCAACAGGCAGGATGTACTAAGGACCTAGAGATCCAAAGAGTGGATGTGTGCATGGTGAGGAACGGGGGGGAGACAGGAGATAAAGTTAAGAGATGGTGGTATGCTCAGAGTCAGGAGACAGATTTTGTCTCAGCTCTGCCGTGTGCTGTGTTTCTTTGGATGCATCACTTGGGCCTTCAAGGCATTACTTTCTTTATCTGGAAAGTGGGGACTGGAATAAGGTTGTTCTCGGAGATCTTTTTGGACAGACTGTTCATTCATTCATTTACTCAGTAAATGTTTACCCAGCATGTCCACTATGTCAAGCACTGTTGTAGGTTCTGAGGACCCATCGAGTGAAAAAGACAAAGTCCATGCCATCAGAGGGGAAACGCTAAACAAACAAGTAAAATACAATATCAAGTGGTGATGAGTGTTATGAAGAAAAATAAAGCAACGATGAAGAGACTTTTAGAGTGACGAGGCTGCTGTTTTAGATTGATTGTGCAAGAAGGGCTGTCAGGTGGTCATCAGAGCCACCTCAGAATGGAGTGTAGGGATGCTGCAGGTGAACATCTCTGGAAAGAGCTTCCTAAGGAAAGAAAAGTGCAGAGGCCTGGGGAGAGTAATACGTTATCCTGTAGGGGGACTAGCCAGAGACCAGAGTGCGGGCAGTGAGCAAGGGGAGAGAGGTAATAATGACTATGGGAGATAACCAAGGACCAGATCACATGGGACCTAGTTGGCCATAGTAAGGACTTTGGATTTGTTATTCCTGGGTGAGATGGGGAGGCAGGGGAGGAAATGAGGAAGAAAGTAGCATGATCTGATTCAATGCCATTGGTGTGGGCACTGTATGGCGATAAAACCATAGAGAGTTGAAGTTGGAGGCAGAAAGGCAAGTCAATAGGCTAGTGCAATAATGCCGGCAGGAGATAGGTGATGCGGACTGGGACCAGGAGGGCAGTGGTGGAGATTCTAGGTTTATTTTGAAAGGGGATCTGACAGAATTTGCTGAAGTTTGAGAAAAAGGAGAGTCAAGGAGGACTCCCTTTATTATCTTTCCAGCTTAATCCCTCTAGAATCCCATTACAAAAATTACTTGACCCCGTGAGGAATTCTAAGCTGTTGGCCCTACCCTTTTCATGTGATGTCATCCTTTCCCAGTTTATGTTACCAGGGCCACCATTATATTCACTTCTTTGCACACATTCACCTCTGCTGACCCCTCACTCCTGCCAGTTTTCCACAGAAGTCCCAGCCCCTAGTTTGATCCAGCTCTCCCCCTGGTCTGCACTAAAGCCTCATTAGCTAAACAAGGCTGGAGAAGAACACCAGGTTATATTAGCCAGTCTCACTATAAATGTAGGACCTCCAACTTCCAGGGCTGCCCAGTAATCCTGCCACATTAACTCGTAACTTCACTCTTCCCCTCTCCCAGCTTCACACCTTCTCAAATCTCCAAACACCATTTTCTCTACTTCACTCTCAGTTACTGTCCTTGAAAATAACAATGGCAATCAAAAGACTTGTCCTTTCATACCCAAGCCCATCAGATTGCTTGCGTCTCTTCTGACATCTGCTCACCCTTTCCTGCCATCACTGTGGGTGGACAGTCCTGGCTTCTTTTGTGCCCTGCTGCCTCCCAGGTGCCTAGATCGGGGCCTGGCACTCAGTATTTTCCCAGCAGAATGAATAATGCCAGCCTCTCAAGGATTCTTAACTGCCACTTCCCCCTCCCTCTTTTGCCGACTCCATTTTCTCTCTTTATTGCATCATAACCATCATTAGCCAAACATGCTGTATTTTCTTTCATCTTGAAGAAACCCTCCTTTGACCTTTTATCCTCTTCCAAATTCGGCTACATTTTCTAGTTTTTATTTATAATATAACTTCCCAAAGAACTATGTAGATTGCTTTTCCTTACAATGTCCTTTGAACCCCCTCCAAACAAACTTGTACCCCCAGCGTGCTACTGAAACTGCTTGTGTTAAGTCCATCCATCCCCTCTCCCTTGCCAGATCTAACAGTTAATCTCAGGCCTCATCTTACTTACTCAGGCTCTCAGCAGCACTTAACATAGTTTATTATTCTTTTCTTCTTAGCATACTTTCTTTCTGTAACTTTCGTGACACCATGCAGTCCTGATTTTCCTTCTTCCTCATTAGCCATTGCTTCTCAGGCATTTTTTGGACGTTCTTCTTCCAAACATCTAAATGTTGGTGTAACTGCAGGGCTCAGACCTGATACTTCTGCTGCTCAGCAAGAGATTCCCTCTTTGGACGATTTCATTGAATTCCATGGTTTTAAATTCCATGTATTGAAATTTTCTGAATGTATACCTCTATTTCAGACTCAGGCATTTATCTGCTTACTAACCATCTCTACTTACTGTCTTAAAGCTATCTCAAACTTATCCAAATCCAAATTTGTGATTCTCGCATCCCTCTTCCCCCCAAAATACCTGGTTCTTTTATGCTTTTCCCCACCTTGGTAAATCACAACTCTATTCTACCAGTTGCTTAAGTCAAAACCATTGGTCGCATTCCTGATTCTTTTTGTTTTCTCACATCTTCAGCAAATTCTGTAGGGTTACCAATTATTGAACCAGCTTTAAAACCTCAATGCAGGCGTTATGTAATGATTAAGTCCCATGTATATCCCTGAGATGGTGGCTGTGGCATGTTGGAGGTGAGGACCAGAGCAGGTGTTAGATGAAACAGCTCAGGGGGTATTGAGTTCACCAAGAGTGGTAACTGGAGTAGTGGGGGACGAAGGCTGAGGTAAAATTACAGAGGGGCAGTACCAACTGAGAGGTAGCTTTTGTTGTGTAGCTAATTAATAGGAAATCACTAGCATTTTTTAAGCAGAAGATTTAACAATTAGGAATAAAAATTATATATCATCTTCTGTTTAGATGGAGGATATATAGCTAATGTTGAAACTACCTTTCTAATTTATTTAAAGTATCAAGTCTGACTCTAGGACTTCTAGAGAGGGAACATTTAACAGAATGATTTCCATGTAAAAAAAGCAAAGAGAAGTTTTATCAAATACTGCATCAAATGGTCCCTAAAAATGGTAATTATGTGAGGTGATGAAGGTATTGATTCACCTTATTGTAGTAATTGTTTCACAATACATACATCTATCAAATTATCACATTGTATACCTTAAACGTACACCATGTTATATGTCAATTATATCTCAGAGCTGGAGAAAAATGAATGAGTAAAAGAAAAAAAAAAGTTGAACCAAATTGAAAAAGAACTCCAAGCCAGATGGTTTCACAAAGAGGGTTCTACTAAAGATTTTAAAGAGTAGGTTATCCAATGCTTGAAACTATCCTGGAGCAAAGAAAAAGAAGGAAAAGTTAGGATTTTTA